CCAAGCCCTCTGCACCCCAGCTCTAAGAGGCAGCCACAGCACCTGACTCAAAGGATTTAAAAGGGCCATAAGCGCAGCTGCATTATGGAAGAAGTGGTGACTCGGTGCTACGCTAAGCCCCTCACAGGCATCGTCTTCAGCTTCACGAGGACACTCTAAGGTGGACAAATTCACATTCCCGCATTGACAGTGGGGCTCACGGAGGGGAAATAACTCACCTAGTTTCCTACATCTGGAAAGTGGAAGAGTCGGAGTTAACTCAGGTCATGTGACTGCAGAATCCCAAACCCTAAGCCACTGCACCCTGCAGCTGCTGGGCCAGCTCCTCATCAGCTGAGGTGGGAGATAAGTTTCAGCAGTTCCATGAGAGGTGACAGCAGGACAAGCCCGAAGTTCAGGAAACAGATCTGACCCAGAGGTGGGGGAATCAGGGGAATTCACCCTGAACTGGATCTTATAGGTCCTGCAGACTTCAACCAGGTGAGCGAAGAGGCTGTGGCCATTCTAGACCTCGTAACAGCTTGTGCAGGAGCAAGGAGGCCTGGTAGAAAACGGGGAAACCGGAAAACCGGGCCTTTCTTCTACAGGTGTGCAATTTGGGTGGGGTCACGAAGACAGAGATCTTCCAAAAACCTAGACCCAAGTGCTATGGGCACCCGTACAACACCAGCAACTTTGCTGGGCTTGAGAAGCAGCCCAGGAGTGAGCTGTTCTCTGACTTGCTATGGACAGAGCTGAGAAAGGAATTATTCTCTTTGCAGGGCAGAGAGCTGCAGGTGAGGTCCCAACCAGGGAGCTCTTGATGGCACACCCTGTGTAAGGAGCGGTATCTGCCTTGGTTGGCCTTCGTTTTGCTTCATTTAATTTCCTGCTGAGAAATCTTCTTAAATATCCTGTTTAGGTTTGGCTGAGTAGACACTCAGTTAAGTTTGGAGCCTTTTCTTTTTTGCCTGGGAATCCCACTATTATTAGCATTTTATCTGGGACACAAACAGGATTTCCCAATTGCTCGGTTGGATTTCTACTCTTTTGACATGAGTTTTACTTCCATGTATGGAAGGATGGGTGAAATTTTAGAGGCCTACTATGATGCCAAACAGCTGGAGGCTGTGCCAGTGCCTGTTGGCAGATGTCACAAGCCACGACATTCTGACAGTCCCCAAGAAGAACATCAGTTCAGACTCTCCTCAAAAACAGACTCCAGTTTCCATTGCTGCTTCTCTTACAGTGACTCTGTCTAGCACCAGAGGAAGATTACTATGATAGGAAAAAGCAATGAACGAGGAAGAGACTGGAGAGGATGGACAGTAGCTTATGTGAGGGAAGGTTTGGGCACTTGGGCTGTCCCGGTGCTTGCTCTTGACATGGTTGTTGGCAAAATCAGGGCAATAAAATGTATTGCTGTCTTCCAACCCTGGCCCGTCTCCATCGCTTCTGGGTCACTCTGGGGCACCAAGAAGACAGTGGCCCCCGAGGAGGATTGTTCACTGCAGCATTGGCCTCCAAATTAGAAGAGGCAGGGGGCCCATGGTGAAGAATAGGACTTACTCCCTTATACAGGTTTGTTTTAGCAGCTTGCTGAGAGCCAGGGTCCAATTTTATTCTTTTTTTTTTTTTGGTACCAGGGATTGAACTCAGGGTCACTTGGCCACTGAGCCCCATCCCAAGCCCTGTTTTGTATTTTATTTAGAGATAGGGTCTCACTGAGTTGCTTAGCGCCTCACCATTGCTGAGGTTGGCTTTGAATTCATGATCCTCCTGCCTCAGCCTCCTGAGCTGCTGGGATTCCAGGCGTGAGCCACCATGCCTGGCCCAAGTTTATTCTTTATTTGTGTGCTATTACTTTTCTTTCTCTAGTGGGATTTAAGGAGGGATCCAGTCTGCCTGCTCATCTCACTACTGTGTTCCCAATAACCAGCAACCCCCCCCCCCCGTGGGATCATACAACTGGCAAAATGCACAGATTCTCAGGCATCAGGAAAAGAGAGGCAGAGAAGAGAGGAGGAGAGGGAGTAAAGTTCAGATTTAATGACTGCAGTCAGATTTTGCAATCCAGACATCTAGAAGAGAGATTTGTTTATGACTAGAAAACTTCAGTTGCATACGAGTGGGTGGCTATTATCTCAGCACTGGGGTCTTTAAAAGTCTGCAGGCTTGCTGCTGGGGTTGTGGCTCAGCGGTAGTGCGCTCACCTAACACGTGCAAGGCGCTGGGTTTCATCCTCAGCACCACATAAAAATAAGTAAAACCAAGGGTATTGTATAACTACAACTAGAAAATAAAAATAAAAACAACCAAGAAAATAGTCCGCAGGGTCTGTGTGGAGCACTGTTGAGGCTTTATAAATCTCTATTGAGGGTTGCAAGGCTTGGCCACGAGCCAGAGTCAGCAAAGGCAAATATGTACACCTGTGGGCATACGCCTTCATGGGACAGGGGCATGCCTGCGACCACCAGCCCTGGAAAAATGCTGGTAATTCCTGCACCCCGCCCCCGCTTTCCTGACCTATAGGAAACTTTCACTCTCACTTAATTTTCTTTCTTTTTTTCTTTTTGTATGTTGGTTGGTCATCCCTGATGCAAACTGACCACAACCTATTGCTATAGGCATTTCTGGAATTACTCTAATTCTTCAAAGGGGGCATAAGCAAGGGTGGCATGAAGGGGGAGACTTATTTAGCTGAGTGTCCCCCTGGGTGGCAGGTCCTGCCCTGGGCACTCATGTGTGATGCTCATCTAAGATTCTTTTTCAAAGAAGCGGTTGGCACTACCATTTTATGAATCTACGCAAGACTTATAATAGGGGTTTACAGAGGATAAGCAACTGTTCAAGGTCAAAGACGAACAGAGAGCCTGGGATCTGAGCACGTGCAAACCCTGGCACGTATCGGGAGCTCCATAAACTTTAACTGAGGACAAGAGATGGAGGAGCCTGAAATGAAATGGTCTTTGAGATTTTCTGGCACTTCCCCAGGAAGCTCCCTGGAGTGTATTTTAACTAACGACCCACTTAGCCTTTCCTCCCATATTCTGTAGTCATTCCCTGCATCTATTCATAAACAGGAAGAGAGATTGATTTCTCGCTGTCTGGTTGCTGCAATTGTAAAGGCATAAATGTTTTATGACCCACACCATCCTCCGGCATATCCAGGAGAAACACACAGACATTTGCCTTTTCCCCATAGGTACTTTCACAAGGATGAATTCCACCTGGAAATGTTGCAGTCTGAGGTCATTCATTTCATCCTCCTCTCAGGGGCCCTGGACCCGGCTTTGCATACTCTATTAGCACAGCACAGAGCAAAGATTTGTAGCCAAGCAAATCTGGAAATCCCAACTCTGGTATTTCCTGATACCCTGATTTTGGCATGTCAGCTAATCTCAGTGAACCCTAGTTTCCTCACCATAAAAATGCCAATGATTCTTTTCTCTTGGGACCACTGTAATGCTCAGAAAGACCACTCACATAGAGTGGGTATCCCATTCACTTTCCTCCCTCCTTGGGCTCAGGAGGTGCTTGTGATATGTATTGTTGGTTCTATAACTTGAGTTGTAACCAGAAGCCCTTGTGATGTCCTTTTATGACAAACAGCAGATTTTAGGATCCTGTAGGCACTCGGAGGCTTTCTCTTTCCCCATGGGTAGACATTCAATAGGATTCCTCTGTCCATAGTTTGCTGCTGGATTTCTGCCCTTTCAGAATGGAAAGGTGTTGGGGGGGGACAGAATTTATACCCATTCATTTTGAGTCTTGTGTGTCGCTGTCTGTGGCTGGGCTTCTTTAAGGTCAGGCTAGGAGTGACCTCTTGCTGCTATGGCTGGTAGGTGAGTATGTGCCCTTCCAGGTATGCTGAGCTGGCTGGGCACCCAGTCACGTGTGAGTCCACTTCATGGGGTAAACAGTGGGTCCTGAAATGACCAGCTACAAGCTGCCATGGACTCTGGGGACTCCCACCCACAACTCGCTCACCCTTCTCCCCATGCATGGCGGCAGTGCACCTGTGCTACCTCTGCTTTGCCTGCCCTCTGCCCACAGCCTGACCCTTGCAGAGGGCTTCTTTTCCAGGTGTGCTGAGGCTTCCTGAGGGGACAGCAGGAGCAGCTCCGCAGAGGGATCGATAGTTTGCAATTACAGAGAACTTTCTTCTTAAGGACCCCTTTAGACAACACTGAGAAGGATTATCATTGTGGTTTTCCTTCCCAAAGGGGAACATGAGACCAAAGGGCTCAGCCAAGGAGGATTCAGTAGGGAAATAGCATCTGTTGAGCATTTACCCTTTTAACAGCTTTCTGGATGTCTTGTCGAATTCTTACCACAGTACTGTGAAGAGTGTGCATTATCTTTTTCATGTCATGGGCAGTGAGTCTGAGGCTCACAGAGGTCTGATATCTTGCTCATCTCCCTCATTCTTGTCTCCATTCAGAAATCACATAATAAGTGCAGTCTGCATGCCAGATATCCTAGGTACTCTTAGGGAAGGAAAGGGAACTAGCATTTATTGAGTGCTTACTATGTGCCAGATTTCTCAGGATTAAATCTGGTCACCTCAGGAGGTGAGCACCCTGTGAGCATAGTGTTCAGGAGGAAAATATACAGTGGGTTTAAATTTCAGTGTCCCATTCTTTAAGACTTTGGTCACATTGCTTAACTTCTCTAAGCCTCAGTTTCATCATATCTGAAATGGGGATAAAAATAGCACTTATTGTGTGATTTCAAAGATTACTGAGATGATGGGTGTAGTAATAATAACATGTTGGTGTGTTTATATGCCAGGTAACACACCAAGCATTTATAGGCATGATCTTATTTACTCTTCTTAAAACCCTAAATATGTAAAAACTGAGCATGGTGTCTGATGCATAGGAAATACTCAGAGGTCACAGCTATGGTGTGGTGAGCCAGTTGGTGTGACTCTAAAGCCTGAGCTGGCATCACAATGGAGCCTTGTTGGCCTGGATGGAGATCAGAGGGTCTCAAGAGGGTCTCAAGAGGATGGCAAGGGGAAGGGGTATAAGGACCCTTGTAGGATTTCCAGGAAAGGATGGAAATGAGATTAGATGGAATCAGGGAGAATGTGGGGAATGTGTGCAGATGATCCTAGACAGGATTCTAGATGATTCTTGATAGGAGGGAGAGATGGGCAGGCAGGCTTCCTGCAGCATCTCTGAGGACTCACTGCACAGGACTGACTGCCCATTCTTTGCTGGAGCTTGGGGCTAAGCAGTCTTGATGTGGTCAGGTTTTCTTGGAGTATAGACTGTGTGCCCAGGGAAGATGGAGGCCTGGCCTCAGGGCACCTGTCGGCCAGAGTGGGGCCTGTGGACACATCCTCAGGGCGGTGGAAGCTATCAAAAGCCTTAAAGAATTCCTGGACTAAGGTTGAAGTACAGCGGGCTCATGTGGTACTGGGCCAAGACTGGGCTGGGGCGGGAGGTATGAAGACAGCTCATGAATATCAGAGACCAAGAAAAAAGCCTTACAGCATCCAAACCTGCTCTCCGGCTTGTGAGGTCAAATTCCAAGGTAGGTGGGGAAGTCAATGATGTCATCCCTCAACTGGGGAAGTTCCCCAGTCATAAAGGTCAATCCTACTAAGCCAGGACACCATCAGTGCTTTATTTCTAATTGTCTATTTTATACATAAAGAAGCAGCCCAGGGAGGTTAGGAAACATTAAGAACTAGACCATAATTCAGACTGGGTTTTAACTTTTGATTGACAATCTTCCCAAGATGCAAATTTGCCTAGAATGCTCCAGAAGCTTAAAGATCCTAAAACATTTTTACCACCCCAATCTTTCTTTGTGTAGGCAACACATACAATTACTACAAAGCAATATCGGTTTATCCATGTCCCTCTCCTGCTGTGGCCCATACACCCAGTTCCCCACATGCTAACAGGTACCGATCTCTGAGCTCTTCGTGAAATTTTTTATGCCTTTGTGAACACATTTGCATGTGTGAATTCTTTCATCAAAAGGAAGTATCCCCTGCTATGTGTGCTGAGATGCTGTGATGCTGTGATGCACTTCACTCTTCACTTGCAGGGGATGGCCTGTCTATTTACATAGAGGTGATTTCTTCCTGGCTTTGCGGATCTCTTAGCAGATTGCCCGTGGTGTGCATCACATCCTAGTTTGATGCTTATCCAATAAGACAGGCATTTTCTTTCTCGGCTACCTTTGGAGAGGGGATTTCTGAGTTGGGAGGTTTTGCTTTTAATTCAGTTTCCACACCAGGAGCATGCCAGGCTATCCCTCTGATCCTGCTCCTGGGCCAGGAGTGCTGGGTGGGTGATTCTGGGGGTGCCTTGGATTTGGTATGTGCAGCCCATGCTGGGGGCTGGCATGGGGTGTTGAGAGAAGTTGTGGCTGCTTTCCTTTTTCCCAGGAGTTGCTAACGTCATCCTCTCTGTGGCTGGCAGTCTGCCTCTGGTCCAGCATGAACCCTGCTGCCCGACGCAAGGAACAGTAGGGGCAGATGGGCTGGTTTTAAATCTTGGTTCTGCCACTGACTAGAGGCAGAGGCCTCTGGCAAATCCCTTCATCCCTCTGGGTCTCGGTTTCCCTATCTGCAAAACAAAAGGCTTTGGGCTGGATGACCTTCAAAGGCCTACTCCCAGTGGCCTGTCTGACTGGCTCTATGTGCAATGGGGTCCTGGACCTGGACTTTAGGCAGTCTTCTAGCTGCAGGTGACCCTCTTCCTTTCTCCAGGAAGCCTTCCCTGCCCCACTGTAGGTTTGTGGCTGGGCTGGGAGGGTAACTGGAACCCACGGGATCTCTACTCTGAAATAGCTCCTTTCCTTGTTTGTGCACTACACTTGACGCTCCTGAGGCCCCAGATCATTTTCTGGTGGCTGTCCAGTGTCTGACACAGAGCAATGATCACATCACAACAGCCGTGTGCACCCAGCTCTGCCCCATTCCAACGGGAGATGCTCTTCCTGCCTCATTGAAACTGTCAGGGTGTTAACAGTAACACCCCTTTTTGGAAATAAAGGAAACAGGCTGAAAGAAATGAAGCCACGTGGCTGTTTTCACATGGCTAAAAGCAGTGGGGCTGGGTTTCAAGTCCAGGTGTCTAAGAGCCATCCTTTGAGCGGTTTTCCCGTCTTCATTCCCATCTTCAGCCGCCTCCCGCTTGGTTGTCCCTGCACACCTGCCCTCTGCCCTTCTTATTCTTGCTCTGTGCATGCTGAGGCTGGCCTCTGGGCATGGCTGCTCCCTGGCTTCTTGGAGCTCTGGCTTCCAGTTGAATCTGGTCCGTGGGATCCCATGCTTGGAGAGGAGAGCTGCCAGCATTCCCTACTCCGTCCATCCCCTCTGTGCTGCTTTGACTGGGATCTCCCTACTCTGCAGGCCCCAGAAAGACCCTCTCCTGGCTTTACCTCTCCCCGAGTTCCTCTAAAACCGCACAGAACCCCATGGTAAGGGGTGGTAGGTTGGTGGCTTCCTGCTGCTGCCAACCCCTCCTCTGTTTTGGTTTTCTTCAGTCTGTGCCTCCCCAGCAAACAGGCTCTTCTTTAACTCCTCTCCAAACTCTGCTTTAAATGCTCTTCTCCGAGTGGCCAGCTGTGGCTTTTCAGGATCCTGATTGCTACATGTGCCCCAGCCTTACCCCTATTTCCCTCTGACGCACTAAATTCCAAAGCCTGGCCAAGTGACAGCCCCAAACATCCCCACGTGTTCATTCTCCAGAAAGGCTGGTTGCCCTATAACAAAGGGGACAGTCTCAGCCTGGTTCATTTCTCCAGCCCTGGGTAGGGCAAGTGTGGGACAAACCCTGGGGCTTGGCACCTTCCTTAAAGGGGCTTCCTATCTAGTGAGAGTTCCTGTCCCCAGCTCACTTCCCTAGACAGCGGCATCCACTTTGTGGTCTTCTAGATGGACAAAGCCCTCTAGTTTTTGCTGGTGGGGGATCACAGACATGGGTATGGGGGGTAGGGGTGGGGTGCCACCATGCTGTGAGGTTCACTTTGGAATCAAGGAGTGTGCAGGTGGCTGGAGGTCACTGGGTGTCTCCTCCTAGAAAACCTGCTGGCTGGAGAGAGCCTTGGTGCACACAATGGGTGCTGTGGTTTGGCTTCTCGTAGGGACCAGCCTGGTGGTCCAGGGGTCACCGCCTGACTGCCTGTGCCCTGCTGCTCTCCAATCTCAGAAGCATTTCCGGCTTGGCTTCATGCTTCCACATTTTACAAGCAATGGCAGGTGGCCAAGAATGCTGCTGTCTGAATCACAGCCTGTTTGTTGACCCTGATGGAGCAGCGAGCGTTACACATTAGCCACAGCTTGCCCTCTGCTTGGCAGCTGGCCGGGATTGCTGAGAGACCAGGTTGCCGATTAAACAATTATTTTCTCCTTGAGGATTTAATACTTTGGACTGTAGTTAAATCAGCTATCATGGATTGTGCAGGTGCTTATTTTAAAATTGATATTTCTTTGATAACATTCCTTAGGCTTTCAGGTAGTTTTCTGATGTTTCTAGTCTAGATTGCTCATGTTCTCCTAGACACCTGTACCCTCGCCCCATCACCGGAAAGCCCTAGAGTGTATGTTCATTTTTACTAAGTTTCTCTAAAGCCCTCGACAAGATCTTACAGGGAGAAGATCAAGCAGGAGTTTTTTTTTTTTTGCTGACCATTAAAAAAATCAATCTTTCTAAACTCAAGAAAGGGAGTTGGTTAAATAAATCATAGCACACACATATCTAAAGATAATATGGTCATCCACATTATCAGGCAGCTGTGAACTTATCATCATATAAATAAAATCATGATATACTAGAAAACTCAGAATAATTCCATTCTATTCAAAAATAATATGAATTATATTGCTCAAACTATTAACAGTTGTCATCTCTAAGAGTTTATGCACAACGATCATTTTCCTTATTTCCTTATCTGTGATTTCTAATTTTTTTTTGTAAGGACTGTATTTAAATTTTTAAATAATTAAAAATTTAATTATTATTATTATTTTTGGCACCCAGGATTGAACCCAGGGGGTGCTTAACCACTGACCCACATCCCCAGCCCTTTAATGTATTATTTAGAGAAAAGGTCTCACTGAGTTGCTGAGTCTGGCTTTGAACTCGCCCTCCTCCTGCCTCAGCCTCAGGAGCCATTAGGATTGCAGGCATGTGTCACTGTGCCTTTTTTCTTTTTGTAAAGCAAAGAAATGCTTTCAAGATATAAGTCTGCTATAATTATTGTCACCTAAACACACAGAGCTTGAAGTTATACCCATATAAATATAAGAAGTGTCCATTTGATCCCTGGAAATAGTGAGGAGAGAAACCAGGATGAACTTTCCTCCCTGCAGTTCTGTATTTCCTTTGCATGTGGAAGAAGAAAAAAAAAATGCGACGCACTCAGGAGCTCTGAGTGCAATGGGGCTGCTGCTGGCAGAGGGTCCCCTGACTCCCAGGCCAGAGTGGGGCTTCTTACCGGGACAGGTGTGCAGTCTTCTCCTGGGGTTTGGAGCTGGCTGACCAGCATGTAGGCAGTAAGTCCTGCTAGGATGGGGAAGGCGAGCAGGCAGCAGGTAAAGGCACAGCACACGCCGTCCCTCCTGGCTACCAGCCTGGCTCTGGCCATGGGCCCGCCGCTGCCATCCTGGGGGAGCATTTCCACGCTGGCTGTTTCCCCGAAGCCCAGTTCCAGATCTTCTGCCATGCTTCTCTGTCCTGGAGGCGTCTCTAACTCCTCCTGGGCCCGAACCCCCCATTAAATAGAGCAGCTCTCACCAAGGGGAATTAACCACCGGCTTTCCTCTCCTCCCCTTTCCTCTCCCCCTCCCCCTGAATAGCAGTCCGCCCGCCCAGCCCTGCTAGGGAATGCACCGCCCACACCAGAAACCAAGTTCAGTTTAAGAAAAAAAAAAAAAGAAGAAGAAGAAGAAGAAGAAATCTTTCCCAAGTATATTTATATGCAGAATGCTCATGTGCTCCTTCCTTAGTTTACAGAGGAAGTTAGGAAAGTCCCTGGAGGGGGAGAAAAACAATTCAAGTCCCTGGGTGTGGCTAATTAACATATACCTGCTCCCTGGCTGGAGGCCTGCCAGCCTGTTGGCCTGGGGAGTGTGTGGCTTCTGGAAGTGAAAGTGAGGGAAGGGGAGGTGAGTGGCCTGCAGGCAGGGAATGGGGATCCCATTTGCCTGGGCCTTCCCTTGACAAGGGTGACCAAGCCCTCTGTCCCTGTGAGCCTGGTAGCTGTCACTCCCATGGAACAGATGGGAATGCTGAGGCTCTGAAGGGCAGGCGAGGGCCTTCCTGGGATAAAGATGACCTAGTCCTTAAGGGGCATGGTTTGGGGTTCTGGCTTCTACCACTCAAGAGTCCATGAAAGCAAAGGATTTTTCTAGCCTGTGTTGCCCTCAATTTAAGCTGAGAGCGTGAGGTCAGAGTTAGAGGTGGCTGTTGGTGGGGGAAGTCGCGGACTCCTGCACCCTGATTCATCCAAGGCTGATGGGCCACCAGAGACACGCCTGGCCCATGCTGGACGTATCCGGGGCTGCAGCGTAGTAAAGAGTAACATTGATTAAGTGGGTACTCTGTGTCTGTCGCTGCTCTGAGTTAAGGTATCAGTGAGGTTCTTCAATCCTAAGAAGGCCCTTTGAGGTGGGAGTATTCCCTCTTTGAAGCTGGAGCCAGGGCTGGGCTCTGACGGTCACTGCTCTGCACATGCTCCTGCCTGGTGCACCCACTCCAGCAGGAGTGTGGCAGGCTTCCAGGACAAAGGAGTGGTGCTGGAACTGGGCCTTGGAGCTCAAAGGGCCATAGGAGAGGAGCATAGTGGACCTTGCAAAGAGGTGGGTTGAAGAAACCAGAAGGCTTGAGGAATGGCCAGGGGCATGTGGCAGAGGACAATTTGACGATACCCTCCACTCAGTTGCTGATCATATCACAGCCAAAGCCTCCAGGTCCCCTGGAAAGGCCCTTTATAGGCCTGGCCCTGCTCACCACCGGCCCTCTCCAGGTCCAACCTGTCTCTTCCTTCTTTTCCAAGACACAGTCCTCAGATCCATAGGGACCAGCTGGACTTTGCACATGGTGTTCCTTCTGTTGTGGAAGCTTCTGGTCTCTCTCTTCACACCTCTGAGCTGCCCTTTCCTTAACTGTGTGGAAAACCATCCTACGTCCCCTTCCTTCAGTGGAGTGAGATGCTTATCCTCTGCAGCTTCACTTTCTTCCCCTGTCTTTGAACTCTTCAGACTGGCCTGGGTGTGACTATTTTAATGTCACCCCCATTAGACTATCAGATATGGAAGGATAGGTCACATTCCTTCCCCGTGGCTGTTGCTCCTGACATGGTAAATGTCACAGATAGACTCATAACTACTTAATTGAAATAAGCCTCCAACATATTTTCAAAGAATTCAGGCAAAGGGTGCCTTTCATGTTTCTTGTTTACCCAAGCTTGGTCCAACAAATGCATTAAGAAACAGGGCTTTGCAGCTCCCTACATCTTTGCTATTGTAATGTAACATTTCTCTTTCTGCTTCTCCTTCTCTCCTCCTCCTCCTCCTTCTCTTTCTTCTTTGTTTGTTTCTCTCTCTTTCTTTCTCTTCCTCCTTCCTTCCTCCCTCCCTCCCTCCCTCCCTCCCTCTCTCTCTCTTTCTTTTCCTTCCTTCCTTCCTTCCTTCCTTCCTTCCTTCCTTCCTTCCTTCCTTCCTTCCTTTCCTTCTTTCCTTCTTTCTTTCTTCATGCTGAGGATTACTCCCAGATCCTCACACCAGCCAGGCAAGTGCTCTACCACATCCACAGTCTTGACATTCCTCTTGATGATTGAGTTCCATTCTGTGGCCTACATGTTCCACAGTTTGGTTAACCCTTTGTGCATTGAAGGACATGTGGGATACTTTCAGCTTTGGGTCATTATGAATAAAGCTGTTATGAATATTCATGAACAGCTTTTTGTGCAAATTTGTTTCCATTTCCCTGGTATAAATACCCAAGAAGGACATTGCTGATTCATGTGGTAAGCACATGTTTAAGTGAGCAGGCAGGTGCCACACTCTGTTCCAGAGGGTTGTACCATTTTACTCTCACCAGCAACATGTGAAAGAGCTAACATCCCTTCTCTGACACTATTAGTCTCTGTTTCAGCCATTCAGCTTGTGTGTACTAATATCTCACTGTGGTTTCAATTCACGTTTCTCTGATAGCTAATAACCTTGAGTATCTCTTCACGTGCTACTTTCCATCTGTGTATCCTTTGGTGAGAGAGACACCTATTTTGGTTGCCACAAGGACTTCTTCTTTCATTCTTGATTCTCAGTAGATTCAAAGGCAAAAGGTGAACAGCTTACAGCTGAATGATGAGGCAATGCACTTGTGCGCCTGCTAGGTACAAGACAGTGTTCCAAGTAGTGGGGATAAAGCAGTGGAAAGAGTCGACAAAATTCCCCGTGTCTATAAAGCTCACACAGTGGTCCCCCTTTGGCCCACAGGGAATGTGTTGGAAGATATCCCACGAGTAACTGAATCCACAGATGATGCTGAACCCTAAGAAGATACTCCTCACTTATGAAGAGGCTTGTGATGGGGTGACATCCTGATGAACCCATTGTAAGTTGAAACCTACCTAAGCTTAATGACTTGCCAACATCACAACTTAGCAACACCATACCCTGCACGGTGTCTGTTGCTCACCCCATGAGTGAGTGGCTGAGTGGCACCGTGGCTCACTGCTGCTGCCCAGCATCTTTAGAGATGATTGCATTACCTTTGTGCCCAGGAAAAGGCTACAATTCAAAGTACAATTTTTACATAATGTGTATTGGTTTTACACCATCATCAAAAAATTGTAAGTCAAGCCATCGTAAATTAGGATTCATCTGTAAATACATTGTTTTCCTACTCATATGTACCTATGACAAAGCTGAACTTATAAATTTGGCACTGTAAGAGATTAACAATAACAAAATAGAACAATTATAATAATATTTTGTAATGACATTGCCAGCATCACTACTCTTGTGCTTTAAGGACATTATAAAGTAAAATAACTGGTACTTGAATGTAAATACTGTGATGCCATGACAATTTATCTGATAACCAACTAAGTGTCTAACAGGTGGGTAGCACATATATCATGGATACATTGACATTAGACATATGGTGACAGATGAGAACTGCAAACAGCACAGCCTTTTCAGTGTCCAACCTTGGGGTGCTCCTCCTCTCATGGCCCTCTAGTGAGGGGGTCACCTCTTTCAGTGGTGTGGTGTGCTCAATAAGCTCATGGGCCTGGTTTTTCCCATAGGAGTTTGGTACAACCACACACCCTTGTGCTTCTGATTCATTCAATAAGTTCATAGGTGATCATTTTTTACCAGTGTGATTGATTTATTTATCCGTTTATGCCATATGGTTTTGCTAGGCAGTTAGTGGTTATCTACTTGTGTAAAGAAGGTGTAGCATCATTCTGCCTCAGCACTAAAGTAAAAAAGAAGCAGCTGATGACAAACTCCTGCTTTACACAATGGAGTAACTCTAGTTCAGGTACAGCCTGAAAACTGCTGTTCTAGACCTCATGGGGTGACTCAGAGCAGGGCATAGCCTGCTCTCCATGTGAGGCCAGAGTGGTAACAGAGGAGGCTGATCATGCAGGGCCTCTTGGGCCTGGGGAGGACTTGGTTTCTTCCTCAGTGAGCTGGGGCGGGGAATCTCTGGGAAGTGCAGGGCAGAGGGATGGCGGGTTTGGATTTCTCATTAGAAAGATCACCCTGGATGCTGTATGGAGAGCATCCTGAAGGCAGTAGGGACCAGGGAGACCAGCTTGGAGACCACTGCAGTGGCCTCTGAGAGGCTTGACAGTGGCTTTCATGAGGTGGTGGCGGTGAGGGTCACAAGAAACATTGGACACAGGATACATTTTGAAGTTGAACAGGTGTGATTCTTATTGAGCAGGAATTGGGGTGAGTGAGAAAGAAAACATCCTGAGGCCAGTGATCTTGGTTTGAACGCTGGAAGGAGAGGGGCGCCTTTGGTGCTATTGGGGATGACTGGGAGGAAGCTGAGGTACTCAAATGGTGAAAAGTGGACTTTCAGATAAGCCCATGAAGATGACCCCTATGTGGGAAGACCAGGAATCTGGTGCCTTGAGGAGGCTTGGGTGAAAATATTAATCTAAAAGTCAGGCCTGGTGCCGCGCCTGTCACATAGTTAGTGCTCAACGTGGTTACCGGTCTTCAAGTCCTATGTCTAAAATCCTTGGGGCTGCTTTGAGAAATCCATGCAGTTGAGCCACAGGAGACGACCAATAGCTGACCACTTTGGACCTACAATAGGAGCACTTTCCTGTGGGGTGTCTGGATCGTATGTTATGTGACACTCTTGGTGGGGTCTGAAGTAGCACCCCACCACCAAGCACAACAACTGTTCTGCAGCCCAAGGTCCTCATGCCAAGGTGACAGATGAGAACTGCAAACAACACAAGTCTTTTCAGGTCAGCTTTTGCTGCCAAAAGAGTTATAAAAGCTTTCAGTTTTCAGAGCTTTGTGGGTTTTAGATTATGGACTTGTATTATTATTCTCGTTATTGTAATCACTGCTGATGTTATTACCTGTGTGGCACGGGGGATGTTGAACTAGACCAACGAGTGGAAGTTCCTGAGAGGTGCATTTCAGCTTAATTTTAAGGTAAGAGCAATTCAGTGTTACTCAGAGATAAGTCATGCTACTGCTAAGGTGGGAGCGCTCTCTGGTTCAAGGGCAACAACACTTACTGATTGGAGAGGTGATTGGAGTTGACCTCTTACAGCTCTTGATCTCACCGAGACAGGATGACTAAATCGTCCTTCCATTTCATAACTTGTTCACTCCATCTGTGAAATGGGACCAGGGAATTGAACTTTGCGATTTCTGAGGGTGCGTCTGCAGTATGTTTTCGGGTGTCTGTGCCTTCTCTTTCCCCTCGGGTTGTTCCCCTCATGCATCTCTGCATAACCTCACTTACCTCCCTATTTGCAGAGTAACTCTTTTCCCAAACACTATCATGGCAAGTTCCCTAGGATGTACAACGTGAGATTAACCTGGGCAGCTGGGAGAAGTCACCAGATCTTTTCCCTGTTTCTTCCTGAATTGGGAAGAAAGATCATTTTCCAGAAATTTCTTCTTCGTATCCAAGCATGTTTGGACTTGTGCAATACTCGCAGCCTTTCAGCAAAGTGCTAATCTAGGGCACAGCTCCACTTTCCTGGAATGGCAATGATGGCTGCAGGGCCCTCTCCCTTGGGTTCTTCTGGAAACTGAGCTACACCGTAAAACAGAATTTTCCAGGGGTTGACTCAGCCTTTAAATGACAGCAGAATCAAATGCAGTCAGTCTGAAGGAAAACCTTTCTAAAGGATAGTTTGAGCTCCCAACAATTTAAAGTAATGTCTGCAGAGGCTGGGAATGCAGCTCAGTGGAGTGGGGACACTTGCCTACCCTGTGAGAGGCCCTGGATTCCATCCCCAGCAATGTGTGTGTGTGTGTGGGGGGGAGGTGGAGGTTGTAAAATTAACATATTTTGACTTTGGAAAACGAAAAATGCAAGCACACACAGACACATACACACAAGGGGAACCACAGACCACCAGGTCCTCTGAAACCATCAAACCCCACCACACAATGTTGTCCTGAGCAGAATGAGTCCTAGACCCCAGGCTTTTAGAATTCCTTCTCCTCTTGTTCCCCTAAGCCCTCTCCTTTGTTGTTTGCATACATCTCCAGCTGCCCTTTCCATGGATCGTGCTTTCAGGTAATGAAAGCCAACACTCCTCCCCTAGGCATAGCAGAACCCTTGCTCACATTCACCACGGGAGTCATATGAGGACGAGGATCCTCACTGTAGCATCCCAGTAGCAGAAACCTGGATGCACACCCGCGCCTGTCACCAGGAGAGGCAGTGAAGAGCCACACAGTGGGGCAGAGTGCAGTGGTCCAGGTGAAGGATCACCATCTGAGCACCTCCAGACAGGGGAGTCCAGTGTGATGATATCAGGGGAGGAAGTTCCCAAAGATTCTACAGAGCAGAGCTCACATCAAATTACAGTGAACACACACTCACACACAAATGCATCTATAGATACAACCAGTTAAAAAGGAGAGCAGAGCAAGGAGGAACTCAGGACTCAGGATGGAATTAGAGCGAATGAGTAAGTCTCTCCTAGAGTGCCAGACGATTCCTGTGGCCTTCATTTGATGTCATGGGTTATTAGGTACCAATTATAACCAATTAACTAAATGGACTCAACAAAAAGCCATTCAAGCAGGGAGGGCCCTTAACGAAGCTGTGACATGATTCCAGGATGGTTACCATCCCCATACGTATATCTGAGACCTCAAAACACAAACGAGCCCGTGGTGGCTAAGTAGGGTCCTAATATACTTTCTGATGAACTCTGTGGATTTTGCAGGAGGACGGGAGGTCTACTGGGGCTTCAGGGAGATGTTGTTAGCTTTTCTTCTCAGCTCTTGACTCCTGTCCAGGCAGATGACGTTGCCAGGTACATGAGGTCCTGCAGAACTTGGCCACACGGTCAAAGCTCGTAAGCAGCCTGGAAAAGGGCCTGGAGTTAGGATTCTGAGTGTGTTGACTGTGTTTCCAGTCAGACCAGAGGAGGAACTCTGTCCCTAGATGGGTGACGAGCTCTGGCTGGGAGAGTGTGCCAGGTGTGGAGGGATGGGCGTAGACCCAGGAGGGAAGAATGGGCAGCCGAGAGCTGGAGAGCCGTGCTAGGTGGTGACAGGGCCTGCAGCTCTGAACAACAAGGTGCAGCCGGAGGAGCTTGGCCAAGCCACCGGTTTCACTGGCCCCCTGCTCCTTCTCTGACCCCCGTCTCATTTTCTCATTCCAGACTCAACCGCTCAGTCTCTACCAGAAACTGGAGATAGACAACCCAGATCTGAGGCTGGAGATTGCTAATTTTCTGTCTGTGAGTGTGGCCTTATTTCTTAGCTAGACAGTCCCAGTTCTAGGGCCACATGGAATCGAGGGCATCTTGCTACTGAGCAGATGGCTAAGCCATAGATTTCAATGACAGTGGTCCCCTCAGGTGAAGGTAGAGCTCCCACTCTGAGAGGGCCCAGCCCCCTTCAGTGACAGCAGTCTCGTCACATAGCACTGTCATGTTTATTTGGAAAGCCCTCCAGCCCACTAGCCTGTGAGCAAGGAAGAGGACAGGTCCTTCTCATGGTTGAGTCTCCACATTCAGGATACAGTGTAAATGCCAGAGAAATGTTTGAGGAATCCCATGCATTACACCTTGTGGTCAGGGCCCGGTGAATGGCACCTTGAAGTGGAGACAAGTTATCACTGGTTGGGAGAAATGGGGGAGTTCAGCGAGGAGGGGGTGGTTTGGCTTGGGTTCAGAAGTAGATTTAATGGATGGAGATGGGGGAGCCTGGGGGTGGAGGTGACAGGTATGGATGGCAGTGACGTGGAGCTTTTCAAAGTAAGTAGCAATGAAACTGCAGGCCTGCTGACCCATCTTGAGCAGCCTGTGATCCCATCGGTATCGCCACTCCTGTGACCGTCAGCTGCAGGTGAGCCCAGAAATGAGCAGGGGCCTGAGGTTGGGG